GGGGGGGGGGGGGGCTTCAGCGCATCCAGTTGAGTGCGTATCTGTCTGTTTAGGTATAGTTCTAATGTAGTCTGGCCGTTCTTTAATGGTGTTGCTTTGTAGCGAAAAAGTACTTCTGTCACCTTTTCATGTATTTAACGGCGGTCGTCTGTCATTGATTTAAGACGTTTTAAAGTTTGAACGTTGCCGGATGACCTGGTGCAATGAACTTTTGAAAAAATCCATGACTTGTGATAAATAGTTTAAACTCACCACTGGTGAATTTTATTGCGTAATCAGATACAATTCCATCTGGATATCCATGTCTCGCATATAAGTCAAGTAACATTTCATTTGTGATAATAGATGTTGGTGCCGAAGACGTTAACCCGATTTCGGCCCACTTCGATTTGGCATCTATAATAACCAAATGATATCAAGGAAACGAACCTGCATAATCAATGTAGATTCGCTGCCAGTTTTGTTCTGGTTCCTCCCATGTATGTAGTTTTACTTTTGGCGGACTTGCTCTAATAGCACCGCATTTAAAGCATTATTTCACTAGTCGCTCGATGTCCTTATCAATTGATTTCCAATACACATACCTACGGGCCAGTTGTTTCATCTTTGATATACCGATGTGCGTTTGATGAAGCTCTGCTAAAACCGGTTGTTGTAAAGATGAGGGTACTAATACGCGTTGACCCCTGAAAAGAATACCGTTGTTTATTGTAAACATTGTGTTTCCACTCGATTGATTTGAAGATCTCGCGACAGCACTGAAAGTTCCTTATCCCTCAATGTTTCAGTTTTCAGATATTTTAACCGACTTAAAAAAATAGGAGGTTATCAGTTCGTCTGAATATTTATTTTTTTTATGTATGTGGCCGCCTAACTTTGGACCACGTTAACCGATTTTGATAATTCTTTTTGTCATCGGAAAGGTGGTACCTCAGAGGTGGTCCCATACTAATTTTGTTTAGATCCGAATTGGATCGTGAAGAAATTAACGATAATCTTAAATTTTTATATGAGAATTGAAGTCGGATTTTTTTTGCTTAAAAATTACTTGTTTAGTTTAATGTTAGCGTTGAAATTTGATGTATAGTTGATTCAGATAGATTTTTTTATATTTCCGTTAATCTTGTCTGCTAAAGATAGTGAAAACACTAGAGCTCGCTACAAGCAATCGGTGTTCACGTTCTCTATTCCTCTTTTGTAAACAATTCGATAGTTAAATCCTGGGAGAAAGACTGCGTATTTTTTGAAGACGTGCGAAAGTCATATGAGGCAATTTCGCGTTTTGATGAAAAAAATAGTTATCCGTTACGAGTGCGAATTGTTTTCCAAAAAAATATAGATAAAATTGATCGACTGAAAAAAATAGCTATTGTTTCTCGATCAATTGGAGAGTAGTTCCGCTCGGAGACTGTTAGGGATCTTGAAGCAAAAGAAATGGGACGTTCCTGATCATCGATTACAAGATACCTGCAATCCAAGTCGGAGTCGCGTCACACGTTAATTGTAGCGGGTACTTCGGATCATACGGAACGAGTACACGATCGCTAGCTATTTCCCCTTTTAATATTTTCGAATGCCTTATTACATTGCGCCGTCAACTAAATTTAGCACTAAAACGTAGCCACGAAATCGCCTGACTTCCTCAATCAGTTTAGGCGTAGGAAACCCTGTTATAGCTGTTATTTTATTTTTCGATATTATTTTTTGATTGTGTCTGAATGTGTGACCAAGAAACTCGATTTCTTCTTGAAAAAAAACTACATTTACCCATGATAAAAACATTAGAAGGTAAAATCATTCTCTCAATTCGTCGGCGATGATTTTTTTCTGACGTTTACAAACGTTTAATCATATAAAATTGAAAATAAAAAATTTAAATTGTTAACAATGGTTGTTGTCAAGGCACATAAATACAGGTAGAAGCCAAAATGACGTTGCTCTCATGAGAACCAAACCTTTAAACTTCAACTTGTTTTTCTTTTATTTCCTATATTTCGTTACGCTTTGAATGTCATATCGTTGTTTTTTTTTTTTTTNTCAATGTCCTTCGCGTAAAGAGCGTTGCGAAAGCAGCTGTGGGCCAGAGCTGCAGCGAAATGCCTTGCTGTGCGTTAAACATTTTAAAGCAGCAGATTTCATAAATGCACCGGGAGGTACAGGAAAGGCACGTTTGATGCCAAGTGCTGTTCCTATGACCCTTATGCCGGAAACTCCCTCCAACAACACTGCAGCTCATAAATTAAAAACATAAAACAACCTACAAATTAACAAATTTTAACTAAAGAAAAATAAATAAATAGAAACAAAACTTCAAATTTACTCAAAAACGTCAACCAGCGAAATATAATTTTTTATTTTTCCTTACACACGCTCATTTTTATTTTTACTCTCCCGAAAACTTTGACTTTTGTAGGTTTGATGTCAATTTGGCTTCTACCTGTTTTTATTGTACCATGGGTTGTTGTTTGAGATTAAAAATGAGAATGTGTGTGTGGTCAGACTGCCTCTCAATGATTTTGCCTTGTAATGTTTTTATCATGCATTTACCTTTATTGATGTGTAAATCAAATTTTTGAAGTTGATGTAAACAATTATATAAGTTATCTTCGCATTCAAGTTTGGATGTCCCGTGAACAATAATGTCGTCGAAATATGCTTCCGTCTTAGGTATTTCGCGTAGTATTTGATTTATTCTCCTATTAAATTCGGATGGTGCCGTCTTGATACCAAATGACAAGCGGTTAACCTTATACGTGCCACGGTGTGTCGACTGGAAAAAAGCTTTCTATCCTCGCTGTCTTTTGTGGCTAAAATAGTGGAAGGCACTGTCGATTGTTATATTCTTTTGAAGAAATTATCTTTCAAGGTTCCGTCTCATAACTTGCGGCATGTTTCATTATTTTATTTAGTATTTCCGAAATTCAACTATGTGAAATTCTCGCCTTTATTCAGAACCCTCTCTAAGTTAAATGAGCTCTTATTTGGAAATGTACGTTGTGTCCTGCTAAATTACTTTAGTAATAAAATAAGTAATATTTTTTTTAATTGACAGAACAAGCCAGTAATCGTGCCAACGCTTCAAAAGGAAAAGGATTATAATCAGACAGTACCAAATTTTGTCCGTAATGTTATGGGATCCAGTGCTGGTGCAGGTTCAGGGGAGTTTCACGTTTACCGCCATTTACGAAGGAAAGAATACTCCCGACAAAAAAATATGCAGACAATGAGTATTAAAGAGCACCACGATAACGAATTCCAAAAAAAAATCGAACACAATCGGCAGGTCGCAGAAGCAAAGACTGCTAAAAAAAGGGCGAAACGCCTAAAAAAAAAACAACGGAACAGAATAAAATGCAATGAGACGGGAAAATTTGAAAAAGATGACCATCACTTGCTAAACAACTAAATAGTGTTATATTATTTCGTGTTATTATTATATATGTATGTAAGTATTTCAATAAAAATGTGTGATTGCAGAGAATTTTCCATCACTTCTCATACTCCGAACTGTTTTTACGACACGATAAAAATGGCATCTACAGTATTTACGCTGCGTCGCTTCGGAGTTACCTATTGTTATCACCAGGAATGGATGTTTAGGACCTAAAGACCTATAAAAGAGGCAAAATAAAATAACGAAATAGGCTGGAAAGGGCAAAATTAAATAGCGAAATAGGCAGGAAATGGCACTAGAAATAGCAAAAAAGGCAAAAGAACGAACTAAAAAGAGACAAAAACTGAAAAATAACACTGGTTTACAGGAAAAATATGTACTCTATCCCTTTAGCAAAAAAAAATGCAATTTCCATAAAATCCGTTCCTTGATTATCACTTACCCTATTAAACCCAAAAACATAAAATTGCTATGTGCATTAGGGTGCCCATTGAAATTTTTAGACCCTACCCCCTAATTTGCTTCCTTGCTGCTTGTGAGAAATATTATTACCTATTTTTATAGATCTTTCAAAAATCATTTAGAGGTCGCGACTTGTCATTTTACGCCAGAAAGTACGGCTTTGAAGATTTATCAGTTTTTGAATAACTAGTTTCCATTCAATTTTAAAAATCTAACAGGTTATGAGAAGAGGATTTATTGGCCTTTAAAGCCATGTATAATAAACTATTGTCAGACTTGGATTGTCGGGATCTTTCATCGGGAAAATTTAAAAAAAGCTTAATTTTTTTAATTTTAACCATCACTTATTTCCACAATTTCAAAACATGTAGTACCATTTTAAATTAAATCTACTTCCAAATAAACTGATCCCTCATTTATTGCAATCGCATAAAAATTGTCGAAGTTAAGCCACTTTTCTTAAATACGGCCTTGAATTTCTGTGTGTATATATATATCATATACATATCGTCGCCTGGGTAAAAGATCGTCGTAAGCGCAATTTTGACGACTTTTAGTTCTTGATGCAGTTATATATTTTGAAATAAGGTCTTTCGATTGGTGTTCTCAGTTTTTAGATATCTCCTTTAGTTTCCGAGATATTGACTACAATTTTTCGTTAATTTATTANAAATTAAATCTACTTCCAAATAAACTGATCCCTCATTTATTGCAATCGCATAAAAATTGTCGAAGTTAAGCCACTTTTC